TTCTTGATTTGTCCAACTACTTTGAATTTTTCTGATTCTGGTTTTTGTTGCTCCTCTGTATCTTAATTTTCTTGGTGACTTTAAGCTCATTTTGAAATATCAGGTAGTTTTCTGATCTGCTTTTTGAATATATCTTTCTGGTGTAACTTCACTGTCTATGAGGATTCTTTAGCATTTTGATTTTTCTTATGGTAGCTTATATGGAATTTGATCATGAAACTTTTCTATTGATCATTTTTACGCAAATTTAGTTTTTCTCAACTTTTAGGTGGCTTTTTCAGACTGTTCTGTTAACTTCTGAACTTGCTAAGGGTTTTGGGCTCTGTTCCCCTTACTCACTTTTACATGACCTTCACTTTTCTTCACCCCTATTCTCTTCACTCTCCTCAATTTTTACTCTAAGGTTTCTCCCAGTGTGATAGTTCTGGAAACATGTCTCAGCTGGTCAGCTTTGAAAGTAGATAAGAACTAGATTGTTCTGACCACTTAGGCCCTGCCATGTGCTCCTTGAACTTTTTTCCTTTGGAAGTAGGCGATAGCCATCTAGTTTCAGCTGAACTTTTTCCCTTTGGAAGTAGGCAATATCCATCTAGTTTCAGCTACTGTCCTCAGCTTAGCTCATCATGCTTCCCAGTAAACATCTGTTGACTCTTTTGGCTGTGTTCAGATCCATCAGTTTATAAATAAAATGGGTCCTTCACTACAGAGTTTGAAAAGCACAGCTAAAGAAAACAGGAGGGAGACATGAGTGTTAGAAGGCTTCAGGGGAGAAGTGGTTCTTAGGTCATGAAGGACAATCAGGGTGGGAATGAATGCTAAAGTTCCCCAAGGCTCTGCCCCTGGCCTCCACCTCATTTTCTTTGGGGAGCTCATCCATTACCGTGTCTTCAAGTATCACTTTTAAGGCATACATTTTTCCAGATCTGAGTTTTCAGCCCATGAATCTTTTTTTAACATCAAGTTTGTAGAGACACTTGGAGGTTCCATGTGTATAACAAATTTAGCATGACCCAAACCAAGCACATGATTTTGCCTCCAAATTTTGTCATTGTATCTCACAAGTTTTGTTGTGTTTTATTTTCATTTAGGTCAAAATATTTTTTAACTTCTCTTGTGATTTTTTTTCTCTGACTCAGATTATTTAGAAGTACATTTTTAAATTTCCAAATATTTTGGAATGTTTGAAATATCTTTGCATTATTGGCTTCTAGTTAATTACCTAAGCCTATTTTGGAATTTTTTGAATTGTACCGAGACTTATTTATGAGCCAAAATATAGTCTCTTACTGAATGTTCCATATGCACCTGAAAAAGAATGTATACTTGGCTGTAGATTGGTGCAGTGTTCTATAAATATCAATTAGGTTAAGCAGGTTGATAGGGTTAATCAGATCTTTCATCCCCTTACTGATTTTCTATCTACTTGCTTGTTCTATCAATTACTTAGAGACAAATGCTGAAATCTAAAACTCTAATTATAGATTTTTTTGTCTATCTTTCTCGTTTTATCAGATCTTTCCATTTTTGCTTCATGTATTTTGAAGCTCTGTATTTGAAATGCTATCTTTAGTATATAATAAATTCATAAATATAAATGAATCTGCAATTCTCATTTATATTTATGGTCAACAATCTATTTTATTCCATTGACCTATGTATCCATGCACCAGAATCACATTGTTTTAGTTACTATGACTTTAGATAATAATTTGATTATTGCTAAGGCAAACTTTTTTCCTTCTCCCCAATTAACTTTCTAAAAAATATCTTGACTCTTTTCATGCATTTACTGTTTAGAATGTAAGCACCAACTGGTCACATTCTTATTAAGTTTAATCTAAAGTATTTAATATATTTTATAAAAATATATATATCGTATATATACCTGTTGCTCAGAGATATTTTCCTACTGAAAATATAGGAGAGGTTGGCAAACTTTTTCTTTAAAGGGCCAGGTGGTAAATATTGTAGGCTTTGTAAGCCATGTGATCTCTGCTGATACTATTAACACAGCCATTGACACTAAAGCACAAAACAGCTGTAAACAATATGTAAATAAATGGGTGTAAAACTTTATTGACAAAAACAAGCAAAAGGCAAATCTGGCCTGAGAACCATAGCGTGCTGATTATAGAGAGATTAATAGATACAGAAGAAGATTTTGACATAGTTATCTTGTACACTGACTTTGTAATACATTTTCTAATTCTATATTTCAGTTGAGTCTATTATTTCTATGTGTGCAAATATATAAACAAAAGATAATTGTTTTCTAACTTTCCAATATTTATAGCAATTATTCGCTTTTGTAGTCTTACTGCATTGGTTAAATAGCTCTGGAGCAATTCTCAGCAGTACTGCTAACAGGAAGTATTCTTGTTTTGTTAATAGGAAGCCTCTATTTTTTCACCTTCAAATTTGGTGTTCCTGTAGGTTTCTAAAAAAAAAAAAAATGTTATTTATCATGTTCAAGCTTCAGATAAGATGACTGTATTAGATGTCTTTTAAGATCCCTTCCAATTCAAATTGTTTCGTTATGAGGTTAATTATGACTTTTTAGACAAATTAGTGGCCTAGTCAGCGATCCATCACCCCCATTATATACTAATGACTTGTTTTTACTTAATGGATCCTTTCTGAATCTTCTGGTTCAATTACTGGAAACTTAAGACAACACAGAAGAAAATTAATTCTTCCCAGAAATCAGAAAAAAATTAAGAAGAAAATAAAACTTTTTAAAAAGAGTTTTTAAATGTGCTTTCCCTTGAAGCTTTTTAATATAAATAACTGAAATGACCTCTGAATATTAAAGGTAAACTTAACTGAAAATCAATAGTGTTCTAGAGAGATTGAGAGGTCCAAATAAAAATAAATTTCTAAATCATATATAAGAATAAAAATCTACAATGTTTATTTCTGAAAAGCTTTGGTTAAACATGCAAGCATCACGAACATAAATCTTTAAAATTATGTACTTAACGTTGAAAGTTAACAAATGTATATATGCTTATATGTAAATATTTTAAAATTTCCTTTAAATTAGGATTCACATACTCATAATGGTATCAATGAGTTTCATATTCAAATCCTAGGCAAAAATTAATTCATTATTGGTATAAAAGTTAGTATTTTATTAATTAGTCAAAATTTTCAGTTTGTAATTCACCTTTCAAGAATGAAGTGAAAACAAATGCAATCAGTATTTCCATATTCACTTATTTAATTTTCCTGGAAAATTAAAAATTAGTCCAACTGTAAAAATATAAGACACACATTAAAGAAAGGACATGTTTAACATTAAGAATTGTAGAATTTTTCTTTAAAAGAACATTTCAAGGCCCAGATACATAAAAACACTTCAGGCATACATATACATAAATATTTTCATTTAAATAATAGCATAAAATCCTTCTCAGGAAGATTGTAATATATTATACCTTTTACAGTAACAGGTAAAATAAAATTAGGGATATTAATGGCCAATTATCAAAATGAAATTACGTTTAGCATAGACTATTATTTATATGAATAATATAATGGCCAATTATCAAAATGAAATTATGTTTAGCATAGACTATTATTTATATGAATAATATAAATAATCTATTTGACTTACTATCAAATATATTTCTGGCATATCATTTTTAAAATGAGAATTACCGATTTTAATTCAACCAATCAAATATATTCATTTAGCCAAAATAACAAAATAAGTCTCTTAAAAATGCAGGATTCATATTAAACATATAATTTAATATTAAATATTTTCTCAATATAATACATATTCTGTTCTCCATGAGTTACACTCTAAAACACACATGTCATTTGCTTTGTAGCTTATAATTAGATACAACTTGTCACCAAAACTCCTTGACTAAAATATCACTATAATTATATGAGGCAAAGACCTATAATAAAATGAATGTAATAATGATCACAATCTTTTAAAAAACAGAGTATGGAAGTTTCCATTTTCACAATTATGAATCTGGTTTTCCAAAATCTGGTTCGCAAATCCAATTTCCAAATGTTTCAGCAGAGGTTGGGGAGTAATGGAAATAAATGATTTAATGGAATTTAAAAAAAACCTATCATAGATCTTAGTTTTAAAAATACACCAAGCATGAGAGATACCATGAATGACTCAGAATTACATAATAATGCTTATATCAGACTTTATTGGTTAGCTAAAGGGCAAAGAGTAAGAGGCAAGTTACATGTAATATTTGCTTTTAACAAAGCAGCCTGAGTAACATGCCAAGTGTTAGGGTGGGATAGGAAAGAACTCAGGCCTGGCAAAAATTTCCTCTTGGACTTTCTATATAAACATCTATTTTAGTTTTGGACTGTTCACCAGTGTGCTCATGTGTTGAAGAAGAGGATCTCTACCCACCCATGAAATGCTTCCCAAACCAACAGGTCCTTGTCTAGCTGCTCTGGGAAAGCAGCAGCATGTAAGTATAGGAAGATGGAAACCAATTTGTGTCTAAAGTTAATTCATCCTAACTGGACTCTTTTTTAATTGGGCTACTCAAATACCAGCTAGAAGTACAGAGTCTACCTAAAGAACACGAATAAATGTCTGTCTTAAAAATGCCTGTAAGAGGGCATGATGTGATCCTACGGTTTACTGACCCTACGTTCTCCCAGACTAAGGGCTTATGAAGTCTTGAAAATCTTCAGCTTCTTTTATCCACCTTTCCAAATAAAACCTTAATGAAAATAGTTTAAATGCTTTATTGGGCTCTATAATCCTTTCAACCGAATAGCAAAGCTGCAGTTGTTTCATGTAATATTTGTTTCACTGGAAAATATGAGAGGGTATTTTGACATTGTCTCGTGAGATCAATGAGTAAACACAATTCACCCCAAACCAAATACTGCTGTGTTCAGGGAGTTTTTAGGAAAAAAACAAACAAACAATTGATACACCAAGAAGCAGATTGCATCCATAACAAAGTCCTTCAGCACAGCTCAAACACGTTCTTTATGAGAAGGCTCAAAGTCACTTGGGGTAACTTCAAGTAAGAGGCAAGAGAAGTCTTTTTTAATCCAAAGTCAGAAGTTTCCGAAGAACTTCAAGCACGATTTCATAACAAAAGTGATACTGCTCCTACATACATACATATGAAAAACAACAGCATTTTAAGTAATTGAATAACAAGATTCACTTTCTGAGAACATATTTGTAATTTTCAACCACACCGGAAATTTCTTTAAAAGAGCAAACATTTAACATTTTAAAAAGAACTTATCTATGGAAAAATATGAGGAAGAAAAATGATCATAATATAGTAATAGTTCTTGGTCCACAATTTGTTAACTGGAGGTTTAACTGAACTTAGGGGAAACTGTCCATCTCAATTTCTTTGTATCTTTCCTAGATAAATCAAATTCTAAAAAGTCCCTTACATTAATCTTAACATACATACACATACAGAGACAGACATTTTATCTTTAAGATCAAGTCTCTCAGGTAACTCTATTTCAAGTAAAATGCCTCACAACATTACCCTAAAAATCAGTCAACATAAAGACTTAGGGGTAACTGTTTTCACTATCCATACTCTCCAGAGTCCCTTTCCCAATGATTACTAATGAATTTGACATACATTAAATCTTTTTTTGACATGTCAGCAACCTTGATATCTTCAAGGCAAGTAAATACCTAAAAATTCTATCCAGAAATTTATTCAACATTAGATGTTACTTAAACAGCATGGCATTATGGACAAAGCATGTGTCCATAATGTGCCCATCAGGAGACTTCAGCTTAGGTCTTGGCTTGCTATCTGAGTGACCATATGCAGCAAACTTTATTGCTCTAAACTTGAAGTACTTTATCAGGAATATCAGAACAAAACTAATGTCTACTTCAAACAATGGAAATTCAATGAAATCAAGTAAGTAAAAGAGCTTTATAAATTGTAAAGTGTTATGCAATGTTAATTTTTATATTCATTAATCTTATTCAAATTTATGTGGTGAAAGCTTACCTTTGTTTGAATCATGCCAGAACGTTGTTCTCTCATTTGGGCCACTATATCCCTGATGTTGAACTGTAATAAGATGACAGTAATTCTGTATTATCCATGTAGGGGAAAAACATAAACCCACAAGTTGCCAAATGAGCATTCCATACCTCTCTGTAGTAAAAGAGATGTCAAGATTAACTAGAACAGTCTCATTTTCCGTCACAAGAAAATATACTATTTTTAACCTAGACCAATAGATAAGGAAGATTTGTTTTAATAGATTTTCAGGAGAAAGCAGGAAGCAATCATTTATAATAAGAAATGCTTTCCAGAAGAAATAACAAATTTGCCCTTGTGTATTACCTTTCTGTTTATAAGCCAAAGGAACAAATTAAAACAGCATTGTACTTCTGGAAAAGCACAGAAGGCCTTCTCAGGCTCCAAGAGTAGCATAGCCATTTCTCATATAAAAAAGCCCTGTCACCTCAAATGCAGACTCTGAGCAACTGTCAGCCCAACACTAGATTCTGCATCTGCACGTGGAGACCAGCACAGCCAGCTGTGGTCGCTGAGTTAGTGCTGGCCTTCAGAGGTCTGTTGCTAGTTCACATGAGATGAGTCCAGAAACTGAAAGTAAGTATTTAGAAACTCTTATGGCAACCTGACACTGGCATAAGCATCAAGGAGTGTGATCAGCTGAACAAGATATAGCTCAGCTCAGATGTTGCTGAACTTGCCTGGAGTCACATGTAGTACAAGCGGAATACCAGTCATTTCAGCAAGATCACGCTGACACATGATATTTAAGGTTTGTCAACTGTAACCCCAAAGCATACAGAAATGGAGAAAAAGTAAACATTCTTTAATTTTATAACTTGTCTTTTATGGCAGTTAAAATTTTTAATTAAGCCTTCTAAAAAAGTTATTTTGTAATATAAATATAGGAAGTTGTGCCAGGAAGTTCTGTGAATCTTTCACCCAGTTCCCCCCAATGATATAATTCTGTATAACTATAGTACAGTATCGAAACCAGGAACTTAACATCGGGCAATCCACAGAGCTTATTCAGGTTTCACTAGTTTTACATGCAGCCATGTGTGTGTGTGTGTGTGTGTGTGTGTGTGTGTGTGTGTGTGTGTGTGTAGTTCTATGCAATTTTATTACATGTAAAGATTCATGTGACTGCAACCACAGGCAAGATACAGGACTGTTCCACCATAAGACTTCCTTGTATTATCCCTTTAGAGTTTCACCTACTCATCCACCCTAATCCCTAACCTTTGTCAACCAGTAATGTTTTCCATCTGTATATTTTTGATATTTCAAGCTTATTATGAATGGAATCACACAATATATAACATTTTGAAATTGACTTTTTCACTCAACATAATTGCCTTAAGATTCATCCAAGTTGTTGGTGTATCAACAGTCTGCTCCTTTTTGTAGCTAAATAGTATTCCATGATAGGAATGTGTAACAGTTTCTTTAACCACCAATTTGTTGAAGGACATCTGGGTTGTTTCTAGCTCCTGGCTATAATGAATTTGATTTTCTATGAGCATTTGTGCACAGGTTTTTGTGTGAATATAAGTTTTCATTTCCCTGGGATGAATGCCCAAGAGTGCTATTGCTGAGTTACGTTATAAGTTTAAAGAGTTTAAACTAAAGTTAAAAGTTTTTAAAAAGAAACTACAAAACTAATTTCCATAGTGGCTGTATCATTGTACATTCCCAATGTATGAGTATGGGTAATATATGAATAATCCAGTTTCTCCAAGGTTCACCAGCATTTATCCAAATCTTCACCAGCATTTGGTGCTGTCACTATTTTTATACAAGCCTTTCTGAGAGGTATATAGTGCTATCTCATCATGGTTTTAATTAGTATTTCCCCAAAGGTTAATGAAGCTGAGCATATTTTCATATGCTTGTCACTTGTATACACTCTTTGGTGAAATGTCTGCTCATGCCCTTTGCCCATTTCTAACTGGTTTCTTTGTTTTTGGTTGTTTTACGATTGACTTTGGAGGCTTCTTTATATATGATAGATGCAAGATCTTTGTTGGATATGTGGCTTACAAATAGTTTCCTCCAGTATAGTTGGTCTTTTCATCCTCTTTATAGAGTCTTTCACAGAAAATGTGATTTTAATTTGTTTTCCCTCTAAATTAGCTTAGTAAGTTTAGTTTTAAAGAGTTTAAACTAATGATGGCAAGAATGTGTGCTCTTACCACTTTTATTCAACACAGCTTTTGATGTTCTAGGTAGAGCAATAAGGCTAGAAAAGTAAATAGATATATACTGATCAGAAAGGGAAAGATAAGTCAACATGCATTCAGTATAACTGTCTATGTATAAAAACTAAAGAATCTGAAAATAAGGCCCCACAAATCTCTTAACATTAATAAATAAGTTCAACAAGATCACATGATACAAGTTCAACACACACAACATTGGACTTAAATGTAAAATATGAAACTATTCAATTTTTAGAAAGTAATAGGAAAAATTATTCAGAACCTATGCTAAGTGATGAATTCTTAGAATTGATATCAAAAGCATGAACCAAAAAGGAAAAATTGGTAAAATAAAACCTTATCAAAATTTTAAAAAATTACTTCTTTAAAGCTATTGTTAAAACTTTATAATTTAAGATTAGGCAAAATATGGAAATAAATTTTCATTATTAATTCTTAATGTTAATCTACTGACTACAAAACAAGCTTCACTGGACTGTTTTGTCAAGAAAGACAACTTTCCAAATGTGGCTATTGTGATTAACCAAATAATGATGATGAAAATGATTGCAAAGAAATGAAGGCCAAAAGAGTTTATAATAATTTTACCTGAAATTATGCACGAGTCCTCGTATATTGAGTTTTGTAGTCATTATTGATTGTAAAGTCCCAAAACCATACTTGGGTTATTTGTAAAGATATACTAGCTAAACAAAACAAGGGAATTATTAAGACTTATATGTCATTTACATTAAAAACAATTAATCCAAATACAAAAGAATTATTTTTTTAAATATTAGCTTTAAAAACCAACAGAGAACTAGTTCCAAAATGGTGGCACAGAAGCAAGCTGGCTTAACTCCACCAACCCCATAGAAAACAAAAAAATCCAAATATATAGCACCAAAATTATTACCAGCAATATCTAAAACTCAAATATGAAGAGGAGACAGTTCCTGGAGTCACAGAGAAGGGAAAAAACTCCAACAAGACACTAACAGAATTAGACTTCTGTATCTGCAATGCCCCTCCCGCCAAGCTTCCCAGCACCAAGCATGTGAAAAATCTCCCCTAAACTCATAATTTTTACATCAGAAAAAGTGATAGCAAGATGGACAACAAGATTCTATTTTGGGTTCCCTGGACGGAGACTTGTTCTTACCTCAACCCAGAGGAAGCACCGCAAATGCCTGAAGGAGAAATATAGCTGAGAACAGCTAGAGAAAAAGAGGGGAGGCAGGACTTACCATCTCAAGTCCTGGCAATTCTGCTCTGTAACCTAGCAAAGGAGATGCCAAATCAGAGTAGCACCACGCTATATAGGAAGTACATTCTGCAGTTCCACTGGGCATGAACCTTTAGCCAGCTTCCCAACACTGCCATGATATCCATTTGGGAACTTCCTATTGAAGATGGGCAGCTTTCTGATCATTTACCACTGCCAAGGCAAACTCGGGCTTAAGGTGCCATCTAGTGCCAAGCAGAGGCAGCAACATAGAAAAAAATTCAATAGGTAAATTGTACAAAATATCTAAGCAAACATATCCAATAAAAACCAAAACATTTCAGACAAATAAGACTGAAATAACTAATCTTTCAATGCAAATACATAGACATATATCCACAAGTAACAACAGCAAACAGAACCATGACCTTCCCAAACAGACAAAGCAAGTAACCAGTAACTATCCTACTGAGGTGATGATGTGTAAGCTACTTGATCAAAAATTCAAATAGAAGTTTTGAGGAAACTCTGTGATCTCCAAGATAACACAGAAGAGTAATTTAAAACTGTATCAGATAAATTTAACAAAAAGAGTAAAATAAATTAAAAAATAAACATAAATCTTAGAACCGAGAAATACAGTAAACTAAAAATTCATTATAGGATCTCAATAGCAGATTAGATTAAGCAAAGGAAACAATCAGTGAGCTGAAAAACAGGTTATTTGAAAATACACAGTCAGAAGAGAAAAAAATAAAAGTCAAAAATAAAGATCACCACAAGATATAGAAAATTACCTCAGAAAACCATATGTAAAAAACAGCTGAACAAGGGCAAAAGGTAGAAAGCTTATTCCAAGAAATAACAACAGAAAAAATTTCAAAACTTGAGAAAGAAATATCCAGGTGCAGGAAGGTCAAAAAACACCAAATAAACAACTCAAATAAGACTACCCCAAAGCATACAAAGATCAGACTCTCAAAACTCAAGGACACAAAGAGGTTCCTGAAAATAGCAAAAGAAAAGAAGCAAATAACATATAAAGAAGCTCCAATTCACCTGGCGACAGACTTCTCAACAAAAGCCATATAGGCTAAGGGACAATACTATCAAAGTGCTGAAAAAAAACAAACTGCCATCCAAAAATACCATGTGCAGTAAAGCTACTCTTCAAATCTAAAAGAGTGATTAAATTGTTTCCATACAAGCTGAGAATTTATTACCATCAGACCTGTCCTACAAGAAATGCTAAAGGGAGTTTTCAATGCAAAGACAAAAAAACACTAGCTTGCAAAAAGAAAACTTTTCAGAGTAAATCAAGATAGAGTTTCTTCAGTACCAGAGAAAAACAGGTCCAGCAGCACATCCCATGACTCTCCAAAGGAGTGATAATAACGTCTTAGAACAACGAGGAAGAAAAAAAAATCCATTGACTCAGGCTGGAACTAGCCAAATTTTTACCTGCATTGTGGCAGAGGGGGGCTGAAAACAGTTAAAATTATTCTTTTTTTAAAAAATCAACCTGCAAGCTCCAAACCTGCTAGACATGGGAACATGAGAAAAACCAGACAGCCACAGACTGCTTTCCTGTAAATGCAAGATAATAATTGATTCACAACATT